GGTGCCTGTAGAAACCCGCCTGATCCCCCTCGCGGCTATTCTTCTCGAGCTGCCGTACATAGCCCTCGAAGAACGTTTCCAGTGCTCTCCACCTCGCGATGCTGCGCTTCTTCCGCGCCGCCTTGAGCATCGCCTTCAGGGTCGCCTCGTAGGCGCTGTTCTTTGAGGCCCCGCGCAGTTGCTGCTGGGCCGCCTTAATCTCCTTCGACGCGTCAGAGATCTCGTGCTGCGCTTCGCTCGTGTACCAGCCTCTCTGCCCTCGTGCGCACCTCGCCAGCGGCGGGGTCTCAGCAGCGGCCGACATCACCGTAGCCGTCAGCTCGGCGGCGGTCTCTCCCGTTGGCCGCCTGAGCGCCGTGGGCGGAGGGCGGCTGGAGGCCCTGTTTTGGAAGGCGACCCGTAGGTGTTTGTCCTTCCTCAACCGCTCGAGGTCGATACGGATCCGGCTGCTTCCGCTGTTCCCCCGCACTCGTCGGTTGGGTGCGACACGGGGGGGGAGGCGGACAGTCGTAAGCACGAGGTTGTGGTCAGAGTCTTTGAAGTCGACACGTTTGACGGAGACATTACGCACGAAACGCCGGTCCGTCTGACGCATGAGGATGAAGTCGAGGCGGTACTTCTCCTTCCCCTTGTTGGAGCTCTGGAATGTGTGCTGCACTCCACCGTCAGGTATATACGCCAGAAGGCCTGTAAACCGGCGCCAGAATAGATGGGACGAACACACACTCTTTGTGAATGCTACATGGGCAATAATATCCTTTCCCGACGTCAACACCAGAATATTCGTTTGACGGTCCGTCTCCAGCAAATCGCCAGGGAGCTTTTCGCAAGATCGGGCGAACTGGCGTTCTGAAGAGAAAGTTAAGAATGACGTGCAAATCTTCTTCTTGTGCGCGTGTGGCGGCGGGGACGACTTACAGAGAAAGGTGCTGCACCATTGCGGTGCTGCATACCGATAAGTTTAGAATGGATGGTTGAAACGCCCGTTCGGAGGACGATACGATACCGCATTGCCTTTCCCGTCCCGTCCTTGCGCGCGATTTGCTGGCAAACGTCTCTTAATTCTCCTTTAAAACCACCGATCCCATGAATTCTCCTTCGATGTTCTTTCACCTTCGGCTGTGGGTAGGCCGGCAACCTTCCCGCAACACATACATCGGCTCTGTCAAATTCTCGACAAGAATCGGAGCCGGTCGTGACCACTCTCAACATGCAACAGGTCTAGCTTACTCCTATCATTACCGAATAAATTAATATCTACCACCCCATAGCTCCCAACAATAACGAACTCAAGTCTTGGCCGAGCTCATGACGTCAACTCGTCACCATAACGACAAAACAAGCAAGCGTTACCATGATCCCACCAAGTAACTTGTGATACGACGAATTCGCTTCCGTGACGTTTGGTTCTGTCTCCCCGAAAATATTTTCTTTTCGTAGTCGTGAGTCCCTTTCTGTCCGCCAAACTCTTTTGGTCAAAAAGAGGCAAAACGCTGGTGTCCTTACCAAGCCTCGTGGCCCTGTGATCCAATTATGTGTCCATCGTATACATATGATACAAATTGCAATCCAGGCGTCGGTCCCCATTCAAGGGGGGCAAAGAAAAGTCGGTGGAAGGCACCGTGTGGAAATCATAACCAACACCTGTAGTTGGAATCAGACTGTCGCCGGGGCTGCCCCTGACCTGTCTTGGCACGTGAACATCCTCACCAACTAATCGTTAATCAACCTGCCCCCCGCCGGACAAAAGAATAGGCGTGAGCAAGTACACGAGACGACGCAACAAAAACAAAAGGCAAGCTTTTGGCGAAAAAGCGGAAAAAAGGTTGGGGGGTGTTAATAACCAAACCCCGACCAACCCTATCGTCACAGCTTGGATCGCCCTAACCTGCCCCCTCGGGACTGTCAGTTGTGTTCCTTGTGGGCCTCTTCCCAGTCGTAGTTCTTGTTGTAGGTGTAGCCCATCTTCTCGATGAGCTTGTCGCTCTCCTCGGGGCCTCGGGTGCCGAACTTGTACGGCAGCGGCGGGATCTCTCCGGCATCGATCATGCTCAGCACCGGCGTGAATATTTTCCACGACTCCAGGAGCTCGTCGCTTCTCACGAAGGTCGCTTGCTTCCCCCGAAGCACTTCGAGCACCAGGCGCGTGTAGGCGNAATATTTGTACAGCAGTAGTAGGTGCACATCGCCATCGATAGACGACGAAAATTAGGGTAGAGACTGGCGTCCAGAATACAGATGGGACGGAACAAAAATAACGTCGAGTGGGGGGGGGGGGGGGGGGGGTCCAAGGAACGTGTGTGTGTGCGTGTGTGGAAGCGCATGCGTCTTGTTCATACTTGGTAACTCTGGTGACGCTAGGGGATGCTCCTGTATTGTCGGAAGCATCCCACAGAGATGGCCAAGAACGGGGCTTGTCACGTCATTGTTTTAGCTCAGGTTATTGTTCGTTTCTTCACAAGCTATGTTGTTGACCGGCGCCTGACCCAATGAGACCGGCGCTTCTCTCGTTCCTGTCGTCAACGACATTCACATCATCTAGACGCGGCAAGGCTATCACGGAGCGCTCCGACTACTCAGTAGGGTACACGCAAGAGGGACCTTGCCATTCGACCTTTCGATTCTTCTACAACGTCTCCTCGAACGGACTACTCCTTCAGACCATCCGTCCAGAACACCAACGCTCTCCCCCTCTTCCGCTTGCTGGTCGACCCAATGTCCAACAAAGACAAACATGCACGGCAGCTCATGTACACTGCGTCCAACAACAAAAGACATCATTCATACACGGCAGTACATTTACATTGCGTCGCCCTATACCCCGAAGTACACTCGAAACGAAACGAAACGTACTTGTACAGCGATGGGTAGCGCTCCCCGTAGCTCAGGTCGAGCTCGGACTGGATCGGCTTGTTGGCCAGGCCCGGTGCCTTGACGTTGGTCTTGAAGTAGATCGACTCCTGCTTGAGCTTCATCACGAGCTCGTTTCGCGGGAGAGGCTTGTCGTCGAAAAGGAACGAGCCTGCAGGTACGTCTTTGAACTGCACGCGCACCTGATGTAGCGGAAATGTAAAGGGCCGACAATCGGCACAACCATCAATATTGTGTACCTGACTTTGGCTTTTCAACTCTCATTTTCTAGTTCACTTGTGTGTCAGGTTATGCTAAGTCAAGAGCCGTCGACCCTGCCGAGGCTAGCAAACACCACAACTCTCTCGTAGGTATGTATTCATTAATTCTTCGTTTTGGGTGAGACAGATCAACGAGAGCGGAACTTGTTCGTGCGGCGCGATTGTCGCTTTCGACCCTCTTCATAATTTTCCATCCGAGTCGTTTCGAATCCTTGCTTCCTTCATGGAATGTGGGCGTTCCGATTTTCCATCTATGACGTCAGCTCTGTCCGGTACTCGTCCCCGCGGCCTCCTTCACGTGAACATAATCTCCCGAGCCTCGCGGCTTCCGTTTGGTAAGGGACCTCGGAGGATTGAAAAGCTATAACTTGCCTCGGCCTTTGTCTCGTTGAGGGCTTTCCCCGCCTTGAAGATGAAGGGAACACCGTCCCACCGCCGGTTCTTGACGAACAGCACGCACGTGGCGAAGGTAGGCGTGTTCGAGTCGTCCGGCACTCCGGCGTCTGGCAGGCCAAAGCACAACAAGCCAGGCCGAACAGAGCAGGTTTGTCACAAGGGACGAACGGGATTCAGGGAGGGGGAAAACCGCTGGATGGAGCAGGGTTAAATACCTAACAAGTGTGTAGTCGTGCTGTCGCCAGGGCACTATTACTGTAGTCAGCGACGACAACTCGCCCCCCCCTCCCCCGGTCGGGCTTGTCTGGAAAATATCCAACCATACACATAGGTTTGACTCACCGTCCTTGTACCCAGGGTGTGTTCCGTCATCGCTCCCGACGTATTGTCCAAGGACTACGTTCTTCGCACGGACAGGCTCGATGGCTTTCAGCACAGCCACCTGTTCGTGAAAACGTGTGTGTGTGGGGGGG